CCTAGCAGTCACATAGGGCTAGAATTAAAAAAAAAAAAAAGACTTGGATTTCAGCATGTTTACTGTGAATAAAAAGCATTCCCCTCCAGTCTGGTAAATTTTGCAGAAGGCATACCAAAATGTACTTGAAATATAACTGCTTCCATTGTGGAATTAATTTTATACTTAACAAAACCCTTAAGATGAACAAGTGACTTTGAAGTTCAGAGTGTTAGTATTTCAAATCTGCCAATTTAATTAGCTGGCTTCCAGAGACTTTCCTTTTCTTCTGGTCAGTGTCACTGATTAACACTCATTTCTCTTCTTGATTATGAAGTAGGAATTAAATGTATCATTTACTTATTTGAATCAACCAAAATTTATTTCCTCAGTGTATATTGTTACTTCAGGAAATAGTATGCATCCATGTGGAATTTACTCAGCAGCTCCTCTTAGTGACATTTGTGTGATCTAACTCGAGGACCTCAAGTGAAGGCTCCACATGATTTACTTGCATATGATGCAGCTATTTTTAATGCTGCATTTATATTTTTAAAAGCAAGAATTCACCTTCTTGGCGGAACAGACATGCATTTTTAACTGACAGACTCAAGAACTATAGAACAAGGAAGTTTCTTAGAAATCAAATCCAAACATCATTTTTGTACTGGAGAGAAAAAAACTTGGGTCACAAAAGACTTAGTAGTCCTTAGCTAAGGTATCAGTCAGTAATAGAACAAAGCATGAAACTAGGGAGAGTCACAGTTCAAGCCCCTGATTTGTCCCAGATTTAAAAACACAGGTATGGTTTGCATTGGCATGACATGTGCAGCTTTTTAAGATGGTAACTTAACTACTTTATATTTCTAACTCCGGCGTTAGTGTATGTCAGCGTAAGGTAGTTCTTTTGACTACCTCTACTTACTTCCCCTAGTTGCATCCTAATTTTTAATCTCTTAAGTATTTTTTATAAATGGCTTCATAATTTTTTGAGATGATGAATGTTTTTGTTAGCTTAATTCTTTTATTCCACTTTTTATACATATATCATTACTTTGTACCCCAAAATACACACAATTATGATTTGTCAAGCTTCAATAAAGTAAAATAAGAAAATCATTTAGGTTTTTCTTTGGGAGATCTGTTGAGAGAAGGTAGGAAAACAGCATATCATCCCCAAATTGGCATAGCTAGCAGCAAGGTGGGCAAACAGGATTCAGTCTTTCAAGATCCCTGTATTTTTGCTCATGTCTTCCCCTACATTCTTTTCCTCCTAGGGAAAATACACATATTTAAGATACAATCTTTTCTCACCCTCTTCATTTCTCATCTCTTAATTCTTTAAAGAGTAATTATTGACCTCAGTCTTCAGAGGACAGTGGAGCTACTGACTTCTTGAGTTCAGAACAAAGCGTTGTTACCTAGGCAGACTGACCTAGAGGTGCCATGCACAACAAAATGTGTTGACTTAGACATCCTGAGCTTCAGTTAAGGGAGTTTCCTCTTCATTTTACCAGACACCCATTCCAGGTTGTTTCTTTCATATGAACTTGAGGCAGGTATGTGGGGGGAGCAGTTTCAGAGAATAATGTGTGGGGTAAGGCAGACTGTTTCTTCTGTAGTTAAACAGGGGAAATGGTCATTCAAGGGGAAAAAATAAAAACAAGATTGACACAAAGTTTTAGGCACATCCGTCCTGCAACTTTTGAAGTTTCAAAGACAAAAGCTGGCTTGGCCTTTTAAAGGAATAAAAAAGGTATACTTTGGTTTTCTTTTGCATAATTGTTTCCAATGGAAATACATTACTTGAAAAAAATCTCAAAATCATGACTGTGTGATAACTTTTTCCTATTTCCTATTTTCTGTTCTGTTAGTTTAGCATGACACATTCTGAATTCAAATTTGATTAAAAATTTTAATCATTCTGACTTTGTATCTTGAATTTTAAGAAACATATCTAATCATATTTGGATTCACAGAGATATAAAACATGAACATAAAAGTAGTAAGTGAAAAAGAAGAGCATTTTTTTCTCCTTTATTGTTGTGCTGGCTGGGGGTACATTAGAACCTTTGTAAAGGCTTCTTACTTTTTTTGAATGAGAAAGTGTCTGTATAAAATATTCAGCATACAGTTTGTATTGATGCTTATTGCATATGTTTCTATAGCATCTGCAGCTGGACAGAAGTCCCAGCAACATTATCATTTTCCTCTATCAAGTAGCATTGGAAGCTGGGTGCCAGTAGTTCACACCTGTAATCCTAGCTATTTGGGAGGCTAAGATTGGGAGGATCACAGTTCGAGACCAGCCTGGGCAAATGGTTTGTGAGACCCCCATCTCCAAAATAACCAGAATAAAATAGACTGAAGGAGTGACTCAAGTGGTGGAGCGCCTGCTTTGCAACTGAGATTGAGTTCAAACCCCAGTTCCACCAAAAAAAAAAAAAAAAGATTTTTGCTGCTAAAATTGAAATATCCGTATCTCTATACTTAAGAGCATTGTGGGGACTAGAGGGTGTAGCTCAGTAGTAGAACATGTACTTAACATGTACAAGTCTCTGGTTTCTCCAGCATCATATACACACACACACACATACACTTAAAGAAAAACAAAAATCTGTTGTGATTTTTAGTCAATTTCTACAAGGTTGCCAAGGCCATTCAGTAGAAAAGAGTAACTCTTTTAACACATAGTGCGAGGAAACCTGGATAGCTTCACACACACACAAAAAAAAATGAATCTGGATTGTACTTCATATACATAATTAACTCAATATGGATCAAAGTTCAAATATAAACAGTAAAATTATAAAACTCTAAAGGAAACAGATGAAAATCTGCATGACCTTGGATCAGGCAACAGTTCCTTAGATATGGCACCAAGAGAAAGCACAAACAGCAAAAGGAAAATACTGGTATACTGAAATTCATCAAAATTAAAAATGTTAAGTGTCAAAGTATGCTGTCAAGAAGATTGGAAAGAGCTTCTTCCAACAATGACAACTTCCCCATGAAAATAGGACTTTTGAAATGTATCTCCTTTATTCCTCTCCAGAAGAGAAAGAGGAAACACAAGAAGAAGCCCTAGCCCAGAGTCCCAACTCCTCCTTCAAGTATGTTAAATGCCCAGGAGGCTATAAAATCTCCATGGTCTTTAACATACGCAAATCATAGTTTTGTGCGTTGGCTTCCATTGTCTTCTGCCAGCCAGTTGAGGAAAAGCAAGGCTTATAGAGAGCTGGGCAAAGGATTTGAATAGAAAATTTTCCAAAGATATATAAATAACCAGCAAGCACATAGAAAGATGCTTGACATCATTAGTCATTAGGACGATGCAAATCCAAACCACAATTTGGTACCATTTCGCACCCATTAGGATAGCTATGATTTTTTAAATGAACTATAAGAAATGTTGGTGAGAATATGAAGAAATTTCCATTGCTAGTGGAAATGTAAAATGGTACAGCTACTATGGAAACAGTTTGGCTGTCCCTCAAAAAGTTAAACATAGAATTACCATCTGACCCAGCAGTTCTACTCCTTTGCATATATCTGAGAGAATTGAAACATATGTTCACACAAAAATGTGTACACAAACGTTCATAGTAGCTTTATTCATAATAGAAGCAACCCAAGTGTCCATCAGTTGAGGAATGAACAAACAAAATATTGTATATGCATGCAATGGAATATTATTCAGCCATATAAAGGAATGGATTACTGTTATGTGTTACAGCATAGATTAACCTCAGAGATATTATCTTGTGTGGGAGAAGCCAAACCTAAATGGTATTATATATCGTATGATACCATTTATATGAAATGTCAAAAAGAGGCAAAACCAGAGACAGAAACAGATTAGTGGTTGCTAGGAGATAGAGAGGAAGGAAGTTGGTACTAACTTTTAATAGTCTCAGAGTTTCTTTTTGGGGTGATAAAAATTCTGAAATTAGACAACTGTGATAGTTGTGCAACACAGTAAATATATTAAAAATAGTGAAGTGTATACTTGAAAATGGTAGATTTTATTTTATATGAATTATGTCAAAATTGCAAATGATAAAATATTTTTACAAAAGCATTGTATGCCCAAAGATAAAATGAAAGCTGTTGTGACATTAAAAATGAGATTATAAAGTATTTCCTCAAAAGGTGAAATGATTTGATACCCTGTATAACCAATAGAGAACTTGGTCTATTGTCTATGGCTTTTAAAGGATTATGAGAAAAGTTTTTGTGTTGTGGTTTTTATAGCTGGACAGGAAGAATCAGAGTCTTTAGGTAGCTCTCTGCTCAGAGCCAAGAAATGTGGTTAGAGATGTTATGCAAAGTGAGATGATAAAACAAAATTACCTCCTCTGAGAAAATCATCTGCAGTTCAGGAACAGCAGGGAAGTTGGAAAACTAATAGATAATGTGGGTAGGACTGAAAGGATGTAATTTTTCTTTTTTAATGTAAAATCCAACAGCAGCTCTCCCTAGATTTTGTGCTAAAATAAGAGCATTTTCACACATTTTAATTGCTATGTGATAACAACAGTGTGAACTCCATCCACAAACATTTATTATCTATTTAATTTTGCTCTAATTTCAGTGTAGCAAGAATTCACCTTGTAAGTGGGAGTAACTGTCCATTTAGTAAAAAGAAATCTCTTCCCACATTGCTGATCATGGTGTACATTTCTATAATAGAGTATTAATAATAAAATGGTTTTATAGTTCTCTATTTTTAGGTTACATTTATAGAGTACTATTCTCAAAGCATTTTTGTGAACTGGAACTCCACTTGATGAAATGGAATATTAGTAAAGAATATTGAAAAATTGAAGACAATTCATATTTCTGGCCAGGATTTTAGAGGAAATTTTTGCCTTTATAAACTTTTATAGTACTTGGTGCTATGTTAGGCTTTGTAGGACTGTCTTTAAGATGCATTTTAAAAATGAGATTAATATAGCTTAGTAACTATCTAAATTGTCCTGATTATTTTTCAGACCTGTCATTTATTCCATCCTTTATAGTGATGCTACAGGACAGAGAGGAATGGATAAAAACCTTGGTGAGCAACTCAATAAAGCATATGAGGCCTTCCGACAGGCATGCATGGATAGAGATTCTGCAGTAAAAGAACTACAGCAAAAGGTGTGTCATTCCTGTGTGTGATTCTGCTTTATGTAGCAGCAGTTCTGAAACCCTCTTGGTTAGAAGGCTGCGGTCATGGCACAAACTTCCATTCTTTTAAAAAAAAAAATTGTTCTTTGTTTTATAAATGGAATTTTAAAGCCTTTTGCAACTGAAAATGTAATATTGCTGGAAACTGTTTGGAGAACTATAACTACTAAAACACAGGGATATGTTTATGAATGAACTTGGAGGTTTATTTGTTGCCTTTTAGAAAAATACTGTGACCTGTGTGAAGAGTTGATGTAATGTGTTCATTTTAAAGTGATTGTGTTTATGAAAGATTAAGAATGTTGTTTCCCATGTGTAATTTTTAAACATCAGCGCTTACTTTGAATATAAGGAGGAAATAAATGTAGAAACAATTAGTTTTATGATAGACTGAAAGAAGTTTCACTGCCTCTTAGCTAGCTTGGGTTTTTTTGTTTGTTTTTTGTTTGTTTTGTTTTGTCTTCACTGTTAATTTGGCTGTCAGGAAAACCACAAATCTTAAAGTATCCTGGAACTAAATTTGTTATAAATTTATAATCTTCCATTATTTTTGACAGTTAAAATAGACTATTTCGATGAAATCTTTAATGACTTACTAAAAATTTCAGCTTTTAAAAATTATCCCTGTACATATAGCATTTCTACTTAGTACTTTCAGTGTCAAAAGAAAGTAATGTGGATAACAAAAATTATCTTAGCATTCCTAACCATGTGTTTTTAAGGTACAAGGTGAGGTTTTTCACTGATCTGCAGTAAAATGAGAAAAATAAGGTTACTGCAGTGAACTTCTTGTGATGCCAAATATATTCAGTTTAAAATTGTATCCTCTGTTCTGATAATGTGTTCCATTTTCTCTCTTATTAAACATTAGAAGTTTATTAACATACACTTTTGTGAAATAATGGTGTGAGGGCTGTTTGTTTCTTTGTATTTTTTGGCAGTACTGGGGTTTGAACTCAGGGCCTCATGCTTGCTAGGCAGGCACTCTACCTCCTGAACAACTCCTAGCCTTTTTTGTGTTGAGTATTTTTGAGATAGGGTCTTGAGAATTATTTGCATGGGCTGGCCTCAAACCTTGATCCCCTTTATCTGTGCCTCACAAGTAGCTAGGATTAATAGGTGTGAGCCACTGGCACTACTAAGGTCTCCAGTTCTACCTACAATTCTATAATTCTCTAGAAGAATTTACAGGACTAAGTACATAGTCATACCCATAGCTAAGATACTTACTACAGTGACCTGGTAAAGATATATAACCAGATCATTCATAGAGAAAATCATTAGGAGATAGAGTCCATGTTCAGTCTTCCTATGTACTTTCTCTCCAGCTTCACAAATTTTGTCACCTGTATGCAGAGCATCAGGAACTCCATTTGAGATTCAGAGTTCAGGGTTTTTCCAAGATTAGGGCTAGTTGCATAGATACTCTGTGTCAGTCATAATTCTAGATTCAGAAGGAAAGTAGATAGTCACTGTAAATCTAAGCAGGCTAACAAAGCAGCCACAACCTTATCATTAGAAAATCTTTTCAAAGGCCACGTTCCCAGGTGCGACCCAATGACTGACAGATCTTGCAAGTAGAACTTTCTGAAACCAAAAACCTAATACCTACTATGTTAAACTATTTTTGGAATTACAGTTAAAAATAGGAGATTTACATTGATTCTGTCATTTTTTTAAAAAAAGCTTTTAATAGCCTGTGAAATTTTAAAGTCTTAAGAAATATGCTAGCTATGCAGTTCTTATTTTTTTCCGTAAATACAATATAGCAACTACACAATTTCCTTCCTCCTTTCTAGTTGATACATCTACTGTTAACTGCTCTTACATACATATACCTTCCTGCATTCCTCAAAAACCATCATTATTCTCATTGATTGTTGTTTTGGTTTACAAATGAATACTTCATTATATAAGTGAACTTAATATTATGAATCTTCTCATTAAAAGTGGATAGGAGGAAGAGAGGCATGAAATGATGGGCTTTCCAAAATTATTGAAATGTAGTTTAGATTTGAATTTCTTCTTCAGTCCAGCTTTAAGACATCATTTTTGTTAAAAAAAAAAAAAAAAAAAGGAAAAGAAAAACCTCCCAGCTTTTATTCTTCCTATTTTCAATTTAGATTTATTAAAAAACTTTGGCTAGGCATGGTGACACATGCCTGTAATCCCAGTTACTCAGGGGGTGGAGGCAGGAGGATCACCAGTTCAAGACCAGCCTCAGGAAAGTGAGGGAGAGCCTATCTCAAAAACAATACAAACAAAAGAACTCGGGACTTGACTCAAATGGTAGAGTACTTGCCTAGCATGGTGAAGGCCCTGTGTTCAATCCCCAGTACTACAAAAAAATAGAAAAATAAAGAATAAAAGAAAGGAAGGAAGGAGCTGACGAGTTTGTGTTTAGGAAAGTTTACAAACTTAGGAAAGAATATTGAGATGTTCTTAGGTTACGGCAGAAACAGGAACTTTTTTGAAGGTGGGGGTTTGCTAGGCAGACCCTCTACCACTTGAGCCATGCCCTTAGCTCTTTTTGCTTTTGTTAGTTTTCAAATAGGGTCTCACTTTTATGCCAGAGCCAGTCGGTATCACAGTTCTGCTAATTATGCTTCCTGCATACTTGGGGTGATAGGTTCATACTACCACATCCAGTTTTTTATTGATTGAGATGGGTTCTCACTAACTGTTTGCCCAGAATAGCCTTGAGCCTCAATCCTGACATAAGTTAGGAATTGACTATGAACAAGGAAAAAAACACTCCTCTCAGGATTGGAGGAAGAAGAGACAAAAATAACCACAAGCAAAGATAAGCTTATAAGTTGGAAGAAGTGATGGCAGAAAGGTAAAGAGGTTTTCATGTAAGAGTCTTATTTTTTCTGTTAAATATAAAGTAAGGTCATCTGATTGTAGTGATTTACAGGATATTCTGATGATGCTAGAAAAGAATTGAAATTGCTTTGGGTAAGAGATAGAAGGAAAATACTGGATTTAGACTTTATCATGAATTATTGGAGATCTCAATTTATGTATTGTTGATCATCTTTTAAACAGCTGTTTTGGTATAGAAATGGATAAGTGGCTGGCCAGGAGCAGGAGATTTTAGGATTGAGAGTAAAAGAAGGGTAAGGTGACCAGAGACTACAAAAAAAGATTAAAATTACATATTTTGAGGTATGAGCTGAAATTATAAAAAACTATTCTAAGAGAAATCTAATAGACTAAGAGCATAAAAAGCATTTATAAAGTAAGAGAACAAATTTAGGAGTAGAAGATACCAGTTTTGAAGAGAGATAATAGCATAATTAGTTTTGAATAAGTTTGAAGAAATAACAGTCTGATTGGCAATGATGAGCTAAGATAGCAATTACCTTTTTGGCTTATCTTTTTTTCTTCCATATCTTACTACTATTGTCCAATTCCTGTGGTTTTCTGAGACATTAGATAGGTTCATGTGAGGACATTGCAGAGGCATTTGTATCCTTAGGGGACAATATAATTATCTCCATTTTGAAGCGAGATGTGAGGCTTTTGATATTTAATAGCTACTTTATGATCTATAATATAATGAAAAAGTCATTCTGACATTGACTTCCATACTTTGATCTTATTTAAAATTAACTTTTATATGTAAGCTTTGGGGAAAATATGTATGCTTTCTTTTTTTTAGTATTTCTTGGAATTTTATTGTATGGACACTTGTTTTGTAAATTACAGAAATATGCTAAGTGTGAATTGCTAATTTACCCTTACTCATGTGTTTCAGGAAATAATATTGAACTTTGAGGTAAAACAATCTCTAAGTATTCCTTAATTACAATCTGTAGTAATAAGATGACATGTACATATTTTTAAGTTCTGTAATGAACTAAGAGCAAAAGCTCTGAAGTCAGATCTGAGATTTTAATACTGTCTGCCACTTTCAAGATTTTCAGTCTTGATGATTAGAGGATTGAATATGTATCCTCAAAAACAGAGAATGCTGATTTTGGTAAATGAAATAATTATTTCATTTGATTTGGATATTTTGAACTTAAGTGCTAGCAGGTCAGCCAGGGAAAGATAATCACCAGGCAGTTGAAATGTGGGTCTAAGTAAGATACAAGTTGGAAATACAAATTTGGGAGTCATCTTCATAGAGACGATATTTGAAGAGCTAGAAGAAGGCTGTACCACAAGCAATGAGAAAAGAACCAGAGAAGAATAAAACCAAGACAAACTTAGAGAAGTTGCCTGGCATTCTAATTGTACAAAAGACTCCAAGGGCTGGCCTTGTGAGTGTAATTGCTCTTCCAATTCCTAAAGAATTGGTCTGTTTGCCTAAGGGCATGGCTGAAATGGTAGAGAGCTTGCTTAGCAAGGCCCTAAGTTCAACCTCCTGTACCACACCTCCCCCCCAAAAAAAAAACAGAAAAAGGGGTGGTAGAGTGGCTCAAGTGGTAGAACACATGTCTAGCAAGTGTAAGGCCCTGACTTCAAATCCCGTAACAACAAAACCAAAAACAAAAAAACTAAGAATTGGTCTGTTGAATAACATTAACAGGTTGACACACTAGGAAGTTCCAGGCTTTCCTTCCCACGTGGAAAAAAAAAGTTATAATAGTTCTAAAACTCAGATCTACAGTAACCAAGTGATGAATGCTCAATCAAGAAAAAGCCACATTCAAAACAAAATGGTAGGAAATTTTGTGGCATTTCATTTGTCGTAGCCCCACCACCTTCCAGAGTATGTCATGATGTGGTTGGGAGGAAATGGCCTTATTCCTTGTTTTCTCCCTGAGGGAAGAAGTAGCATAGTGGAACTTGTTTGCAGTATCCTAACATGTCTGTCCAAGGAACTATTTTCTGTCTTCCCTGACTCTGGCCTCAAAGTTGGGAATGTTGGAAGGAAGTGTACATGAAAACTGAAGAGAAACTATAGGCTTACAAATATCTGGAGCATCAGATTTTATAGGAGAGTAGAACATCTAAGGCCC